AAGAGATCTTTCTGGTCCCAAAGAAAATACGTTTACAAGTTTCAGTAACAATACTATCCATCTTTGTTGTATGCTACAGTGTAGCTTAGAAGATGCCAAATGTCTTAACAGACATTCCAATCTGTTCAGAAGTCAGTCCAGCCTTCCAACAGTCCACCAATAAACATTTCAGGAGTGGCCACAGCACCCAAAATAAACTGTGAATATTTATCAATACTCTCCCCGAAAATTCCAAAATTTTTATTCATTCAACAAATTATATATTGAATACTAACTACATACAAGACATTCTTCTAGATACTGGGATATAGAAGTAAATAAAACAAACAAATCCCTTCATGGTACTTACAATCTAGTAGAAGAGACAGACAATAAATAAGATAAAAAGACTTTATATAGTAATGTTAGATAGTGATATATGCTAAGGAAAAACCAAAGCAGGGAACAGGTATAGGAAGTGTTGGGTTGAGAAACAGTTCACAAATTTTATACGGGATAATGAGGGAAGCCTTGATGAGTTGGTATTTAAGTAAACATTTTCAAGGTAGTGAAGGAATGATCTACACAGTAATCTAGGGCAACAGCAATCTAGCAGTGAGAAGAGCAAGTGCCAATGTCCTGAGGTAGGACACATACCTGACATGCTCAAAGATTAGCAAGAAGGCCAGTATAGAGTAGAATGAGCAAGTGGGAGAAGAGAAGAAGATGAGGCCAGAGAGATAATAAGGGGCCACCTTAGAGAACTAAGTAATGTTAAGGACTTTGGCTTTTACACTCAGTAAAATAGGAATTCACTGGAATATCTGGCATAGGGAATTGTTATGGTTTGACACAGTGATGAACCAGATCACTCTACCTAATGTTGAAGAGGGACTAAAGAGAAGCAATATAGAAATGGTTATGGAATTTATCATAATAATCCACTGAGAAACAGTGCAGGATTGGACTGGGTTGGTGAGAAGTGTTCAGATTCTACACATATCTTGAAGGTAGAGCTATAATTTGCTAATGGATTAGATCTTGAGCACAAGACAAAAATTAATTAAGGTTTTCAGCCTGAAAACTGGAAGAAATGACAGGTTTATGTCACATAGAGCCCTATCACCCATTAAAAAAAAAAAAGGGCAGGACAACAGTATGTCACATCAAATGTGTTCCATTGATATTAAAAGTTGCAGTACCCCAGAATTATTATCAGATGGGTTTAGCGGCTTTGAAGGAATGTCTTCTGAGCAACAGGAATTAAAGAACAGAAAGTCTCCATACTTTTCACCAAAAGCTAGCTTTGTAATGACATTTAAAGGCCATGACTTCCAATAAAAATGGAATTCAAGTGAAACTGATCCTAGCTATGCCACCCACAGCTTTGTGACTCTGGGCAAGTAGTTTAATCTTTCTAATCTTATTTCCTCATTTGTATAACTGGGATGATAATTACATCATAGAAGCACTGTACTGATTAACAAGGTATCTATAAATTGTTCAGTGCAATGCCTGGTATACAATATTCATTAAGTGGCAGAATACACCAAAAAGAATGAATAGAGAAAAATATGTATCAGTTATAGGACTGGTGCTATGGTCTGAATATTTGTGAACCCCCAAAATTGAAGCAATTTCAAATGTTGAAATCCTAATCCCTAAAGTGATGTTATTAAGAGATAGGCTTTTGGGAGTCCTCATTGAATGGGACGGGTGCCCTGAGAAAAGGTCTAAGTGGACACCATTGCTCACACCTATAATCCCAGCAACTCAGGATCACTTGAGGTCAGGAGTTCAAGACCAGCCTGGGTAACATGGTGAGACACATCCCTAATAAAATGAAAAAAGGTAACTGTGCAAAGTAGCACCTCCCTGTAGTCAGGGCTTACTAGGAAGTCTGGGGCAGGAGGAACGTTTGAGCCCAGGATTTCAAGGCTGCAGTGAGCTATGATCATGCCACTGCACTCCAGCCTGAGCAAAAGAATAAAACCCAATCTCTCTAAAAAAAAAAAAAAAGGCGACAACGATGATGATGACAACATCAGAAGGAATTTGATCTCCCATTCTGTCAGTTGAGAATACAGCAAGCAAGCACAGTCTATGTAACAGAAATCAAGCCCTCACTGGACACAGAACCTCCCAGTACCCGGATCTGAACGTTTCAGCCTCCACAAATGTAAGAAATAAATTTTTGTAGTTTTTAAGTTACAATACATAGTTTATGGCATTTTCATACAGCAGCCTGAATGGACTAATCCTTAGGAAAGGCAGTACCTACTCATGACAACAACTTTATAGAATTTACATTAAAAATAGTTAGAGTAGAATAGGGAAGATAAGAAAGGCTCTAACCAATCACTCCTTTTCCCAAGAAAAGGACGAAACATCACAGGAACTACAGAAATATTAATAAAGAGAAGATTCTAACAAAACTACCATTAACTCTTCCCGATTTTGAAAAGCAAGAACATACTCACAGTAGGTTTAGGGAAAAATCTATCTACTTAGAATATTACATTTGGAAAAATAATCCATACAGAGCCCCTGCCACTCTATTAATAGCACTCAAGGAAGACAGGCAACCCAACTTCCAGCTAATCTGTAAGTACCAACGTTCCAACAGCCTGTGCTC